GGGAAATTTTCTCTTTTATTATGATTATGTCTTATTTCTGCCACCTTATGTTGTGCTTTCATCTCCTTTTTTTTGCTATATTTGAAGTTTTCTTTCATTTTTCTCCCCTTCACTTATATTGCAAATTTACTGTTTTTATTCTGCCATAAACATTTAAATTTTAAATATATTCATGTTTAAACCTACCTATCAATGGTAATGGAGTCTCCGCGAAAGAAAAGAAAACCTAAACCTCTACTACTTCAAAAAAAAATTTTTTTCTTAAATTGATTTCAGAGATGGGGAGAGAGATAGAAACATCAGTATGTCCCCTACTAGGGATCAAGCCCGCAACCCGGGCATGTGCCCTGACGAGGAATCAATCTCCTGGTTCATAGGTCAATGCTCAACCATTGAGCCACCTAGTAGATGCTTAGGCTCTACTACTTTTTTATTACTGTTTTCTCCATGCTCTATCCACCAGGTATATTGAAATCAGCTGAAATTTTAGAGCTCCAGAATGTTTTTACGTTGTGAAATTTCTCTTTTAACAGTAGAAACTGGCATTAAACTTTAAAACCACATTAAAAATAGTTACTTTATACTTAACTCTGCTCTAGCAGTTGATCATTGACCACTGTTTTCTCATTATCACACCCTCCCATTTCTTAAATCTTTATTTTGATTAATGTTTTAATTGGTTTTAATGTTTTAATTAAATATATTTCAGAGAAAGTTTTGTTTTTTTAAAAAAGGTATGTCGGAATAATTTTTGAGTGATTGTCTAAAAATATATTTCTTTTGTTTAGATTTTTTTGTTTGTTTTTATGAATTGTTGACCTTTTGCCAGGATAGGTCCAGGTGTGTGTGTGTGTGTGTGTGTGTGTGTATTGTTTAGTGTGTGTGTGTGTGTATTGTGTGTGTGTGTGTATTGTGTGTATGTGTGGTATGCCTAAGTGACCATTCGACCAGTAGCTATGATGCACACTGACCACCAGGGGGCAGACGCTCAGCGCACAGGCATGGAAACATGGAACAGACTGATGAATCTCAGAGTGAAGAGGGGAGAGGGGAGGGCAGGAAGAGATTAACCAAATATCTTATATGTATACTAGAGGCCTGGTGCATGGATTTATGCACCAGTGGGGGGCCTTGGCCTGGCCTGCAGGGATCGGGCCGAATTCATGCACCAGGGATCCAACATCCCCCCAAAGGGTCCCAGATTGTGAGGGCACAGGCCAGACCAAGAGACCCCACTGGTGCATGAATCTGTGCAATGGGCCTCTAGTATATTTATAAGGTGTCCCAAAAAAATGTGTACACACTTAATAGCTGATAGCTCAATTGATGTTTCTTTTCAGATTTAACCCATTGGAATTAATTATTCAAAGTGTATATACAATTTCTTTGGACACCCTGTATATGTAAAATCTTTTCTGGTACTCAGTGGATTTCTCTGGTGGAAAATCTTGTGTCAAAAAATTTCTTTAAAATTTTTTAAAGAATTTAAACAATTCTTTAGTTTTTCTAAAGAAATTTTTTAGGGTAACTGATCAGGTTTTTTCATCTGATCAGTTACTTCTGACTATAACTCCGAGTTGTACCATGATTTTAAACTTTATTTCTGTTCTTACATACCTAGAGATACAAAGGGTTTCTACTAGACAGTGATTCTCAGTGATGGTGACGTTTGAGGGGCAGGAGACACACACCTCATGAGGAGAGATCTTATCTTCTCTGTAGGTGACTCTGTTGTTGTTGTTATTGAGGGTTGCATTTCATCTCTCTGTATTGGGCTCTTGTCACATGAGAAGAAAAATTGTTTCCTTGCTTGGGTAGCTTTGTCTGATCTACAGGTACTGTGGATTTGCAGATCATTGTAGCCCCTGTTTAAAAAGTTGTATGATTCGCAATTTAATTAATTGCTTGAGATGAAGCACAGGTGGCATTACATGTTGATGCATCTTTTCAGAGTAAAGAAAGAACAAGAAAAAACCAGCCCTCCCACGATATTGCAATGTACACTACCGTATTTGCCGGTGTATAAGACGACTGGGCGTATAAGACGACCCCCTAACATTTCCACTCAAAATACAGAGTTTGTTATATACTTGCCGTATAAGACTACCCCCTCTTCCGCACACCTTCCACACACCAAATAAAAGGTAAAACAATATCAGATTTGATTTTAACATTTTAATTTATATTCAAATGCTTATGACATGCAGGAAAACTGTCACAAGGCTGTATGTAATCAAACATATACATAAAACAGTGCAAGTTTATTACCGGTAAACATACCGGTAATTCACTAAAGAAAACACACTCTATAGACTGGTACCGTAGATGCTTCTCAGGAACACAGGCAAGCAGCCCACAACCTAGAGGGACTGTCAATGATAGAAGAAAGAT